TGACCACTTTGTCAGCAGGGCTTGGCATAGGAAAAAGTACTCTGAAACATTAGAGAAGGAGGCACATGTTTATTTATTCATTTTTCACATTTCTGAACCACCCATTTTCCTCAAAGAGAAACCATTTATGTTAGGTTAGAGGCCCTATGGCTATTTTCTAAGATTTAGAGAGGGCTTCCCTCAGAATATTTTTGGAAGCCAACAATCTCTTCCCACTGCCTATAATACAGAAATCTACAAATGTGTCTGATTGCCAAGTTCCAGATAAGATTAAAGATTTAGGGAAATATGAATATAATAAGAGTAGATATGGTTTGTCTGGAGAAAAAAAATGTGAACCAATGTAACTATCCATTTTTTGCCTTGAACAACATGTCAGCTTTGCCATCCTCCTAGCTCAGGTCACCTAATTAAATTGATCCATAGCAAATCTGTAAAAAATGAAAGGAGATTACATATTCCCATAATGCATAATTAATGGAATTCATCAGCACAAAATATGACGACACTAGCTACTTAAAGTAGTTTTAAAAACATAAGGGAAGGTCAATCAATGTCCATTAATCTTGATGGCTAAAACCTGGATGTTTTTCTTTTTAGATGCAGCAGCTGCTGGGGTAGGGTAGGATGGCAGTGAATATAGAGAAAAGCCCATTATCAGCCTGCTCTGTATGTTAGGAACTTGCCAGGACCATCTGGCTCCTGACTGAGGACAAAGTGTTGGACTAAATCAAGCGTAGGCCTGATCCAGCTAAATGAAGATACAAGTCCCATTGGTACCATGTACTGAATTGGGCCCAGAGGCTGGAGAATCTGCTGATTTTCTTCATTAGTCAAGCAGAGGCTGGATTTAGTCCTCAGAAAACCTGAGTTTGGTTGGGGTTAAGTTTATTCATTTAACTCTCTCTACCATGCAAATGACTCCCAAGAGCCTGGGAAGCTGCAAACAAACAGAACCTCTGGTTTTTCTCCTGTGTACTTTCCATTGCCCCCTTCACAATTAAAGGTGCCACCAATGCTGGTTTTGAGCTTTTAGGTGTACTGTACAAGAGAAGTGGGGATGAAAAGGACAGCTTCCCAGCTCCCTTTCTTTATTAAATTTATGCACCACTCATCTCCCTATTCATGTGACTTTGAGGCATCTTGGCTGCTGCAGGACAGAACCAGTCATCCTGTGTCAGGCACTGTTGACATTCAAAGTCTGAAATTGTTGGATGGGGAGGGAGAGTTGTCTGTTGACTGAAAACTGCAGGATTTTGGAGCCTGCAGGACATCGGGTTGCTTACACATCAGTAGGTATATGTATGCTATTACCTGCAGCCTAAATCCCAGGAAGATTAGTATGAAGAAAATGGGGACTATTTTCCCTCATTAAAATAATTCCAGTGCTGCATTTTTATTGTTCATTTTGGCATATCAATAGGACAGCATGGAATTATAGAGAGTTGGGCAGTCCTGCAAACTACACCAAGATGTACTGTAGTGATAGAAGTGTTGGACCAGCTGACCTCAAACTCAGTAGGTGCCTTTGGGTGCATCACTCTTAGCTCATCTTGATTCTCAGAACTGACAGAAAGAAGACTCTCTGAAAGCCACCCTGAATGTTCAGGGAAACAAAAGATGTGAAGTAAATGAAAGCCAAATTTCTTAGAGCTGCAGACTGTATATAGACTCATTCCAAACAGAAATGTTCAGAATTTGTCTAAAAACTGCCATGAACTGTTAGCCATGAAATACTTGAAATACTTTATTTTGTATAATAATTTTTCTTCAGGGGTAATTGATACATAGCTTAGAGAAAAATGCCTGCATCATGATCTCTTAAATAGTATATGAAAAATTAAAACTGTTGATAAGATCAGCCAAAAAAAATAAGGGGAAGTCAAGAATGGCTGAAGGAGTTGGATACATTCTGCTTATAATGTTGATAGGCCAGGCTTTATAGTTGTTTATCAAAATATTTTTTGCTGTTCAAGAAATGCCAGATGAAATCTGTGGCATGCAGTCACCTCAAAGGATAAAACAAACTAAAAATACCTATGCAGGAGGAAATCATTAAGAAAATCATGGACTGTGCCGAAATGAGTAAGTTGATATTTGAAATTAGAGAACAAGAGGATAAACAATTTTATATGATATGGGATTTATTTTATCAATGGTTAGATAAAAAGACATGGTAAAGAAATAGATTAGTAAGCCTTACAATAAAAGTTAATAGATTGATATAGAATACAAAATAAAATATATAACCATTGGATGAATGTATAAGATTAAATCATAATGAAAATAAGAATATCTCATATAAAATGATGGAAAAATAGTTTAGTCAAATGAATGTTTAATAATTGATATTACATAAGCACATGCTAGATTGATAAGGTGAGAATTTATATAGCTTGTGAGTAATGGTAAAAAAAAGGATAGCACAAAAGATTGTAACCGACATACTGTATGTATATAATTGAAAGAGGGTTTTATGTTTTTATGTTTTGTTTGTATATTTGTTGCAAAAAATTAAAACTTGGAAAAAAATAAAAAAGAAAAGTAAGAAAAAAATTAAAAAAGGATAAAACAAACTATTTTAACAGAGTTAAACTACATTTGATTAAAACTGCTTAAAATACAGTACTGGCTTCCATGCTTCAGTCTCGACACACCTTATATTTCTGGATAGAAAAACTATTTCAGTTGGGGAAGAAAAACAATGAGCAAGCAGGAAAAACAGAGGGCAAAAGATGCTTCCTGATAGCATTTGTTGATTATTGTGAATTGCATTTGTGTTTCTAGTGGAAATAGATCAGAGTTGAATTTTTCAATATTTATGCATAGATTTCCCAAAGTGATTGTAAGACTGCATGTCTGTGTCTTTCGGTTACATTTTTTTTTTCCTGTACTGAATCCGGAGATGCATCTATCTATCCTATTCCGTCTCTGGACCAACAGGCAAAATCACTTTAAAGGATGTTCAATATATTCTTTATATTTCAATCAACTTTAAAAAACATTGAATTTTGAGTAAAACGCCCCTTTTTTTAACAGAATGGTAATTATTCTATAAAGTTGCTGAGGTAATGTGTATACATATCAAGTTATTTCCCTCCTGTTCTCTTGGCCTTCATCATATAAATAATGAAATGGGTATCTGAAAGGTTGCCATTATTTTCAGGTCACACAGCCAGTGCAAAGAAAACCTATACCTGACAAATCACATTTCTGGAGTTTGGGAAAGAAGGGCTGAAGCAGCTGCTTGCCTTTTCATGTTTCCCTTTCTTATTTGTATAGTTATGACGTAGGAGAGAGTGAGCCCAAAGTTGGACTATTTCAGTTTGGTTCATTGAGACTCATTTTGTTAAGCTTTTTGGAACCCAGATTTGCAATAGCTGGTGTCTTTTTATTATTCAGTAATGAAATTCATTACATGCATCTTTCCAAATTGCTTGGAATGTAGGTGGATAATAATATAATTCCCCAAGCAATTCCAAAAGTATTTAAGAATAAAGAAGTTTCATGGGCAGGAACCAGTCCAGCAGGAGAGCTGCCTGCTGGGTGTCACAAGGTGGGGCTCAGGATATACTTCTCTGCTCTGGTTCTATCCTCTGGGACATCCTTCCCTCCGAGATTAGTCTCAACCTGCTGCCGGTCCAAAAATTTGGCTTTATGCCTGGGCATCGGATGTATGAAGGACTCATCTTTTGGCTTTAATTCTGGTCATTTTATGAACTTGGCTGCACTGTGTTTTTTTTATATTATGCATGTTAATGGAATAAATGGCATCTATAGTGATCTGTGGACGATATATAAATTATATAAATGAGCACATTATGGTGTGAATGCTGGGCAAAGTATGGAGTCAATAAGAACTGTAGATGTATTCAACATTTTTTAAAAAATGAGGAATGGATGTACAATTTCATTTTGTGTTGAAGATTAAGTTTAACGTTTATTTCTTTTCAAACACAGTTATAGTTCTCCAGCCCAGGTCAATTCCTTATTATTCCATCCTGCTTTTCAAAACAGTTTTGCTAGGAAGCCAAAGTACATAACATGGTATTAGAGAAAAATATATCCCTGGGGATTCTGTTCTAGGCATGCCTGGTGCAGTCTTTGGGTTTTATGCATCAAAAATAGATTGGTGCAATACATGGCTATTGTTCTCTGTGTAAAAAGCTTTATTTCTGAACTTCCTGGTATAATTGAATGAATAGAAATAATCTCAAATAAGCCATATTCAGAAAACTTATCTTTTATTATTAATGTTCATATATATTTTCCTCAAAAGTATCTAAGTTATACATATTATCCTTGCTTTAAGTACAAGTATTTCAAATGTGTGTGTATATATATATATATATATATATATATGTATGAGTGTATAGTACTGAGTAAATTGGAGCACAGAAACAAAACAAGAAACAGTAATCAGAAATTACTTGGAAAAATAAGTATCTTGATAAGGTCATGTCATCAAAGTGATAGAGTGACTAATATAAAAAGAGCAGGCTCATTATAAAACATGGTTCCAGACATATTATGAATAGGTAAATTGTCATGCCACATTTGTTGCATATAATAGTGATATACATTAGTTACACACAACTATTGCTGTCAGAGGAATTATGCTCTCAAGAGGAAACTGTTGGTGTATCAGCAGTGACTTGGAGCTGATACAATTCTAACTTTGTCATCACAATCTATCTGCATTCAAACATAGAGATCTCTGCTTCTATTAACAAACTTTTGCTTTCAGTGCAAGTAGATTTTATAGTAGATTTAGCCGATATAATTCATACCCTACTTATCCAAATTAAATTCATCTGTCTCTATGGATGAAGGTCCATCAGAGAGACTTATAGATGTACAGGACTGTAGAAATATAAAATATGTCAAGCACTTTATGGGTTATACTACCGTTTGGTAGAATATAAATTGTGCAGCTCTAAATCAGAACAGTTACCAGATTACTTCAGCTGCTTTAAAGCACATTAGTATATTTTTCTTTTTGTCCCATGTAAGTCTTAACATAGCCACCTCTGGTTCTGTTTAGAACTGTCTTGAATAGATGGGAAGTGGGGAAGAGAAAGAGAAAACTTATCGAGTATATGCCCAGTTGACATTCAAGGGTGGCAAAGAACACTTAGGTAGGCAACCTACCAGCCATTCCCCAAGTTACAGGTCTGTTGTTCCCTTTCCATAGCAAACTCTCCAATTCCTTATTTAAACTAGCTTACAATTGGTAAGTTTAACTTCAGTTGCAAAAGCTGCAGTTTTACATAAGAACTGCAACTTAATTTTCAAACAAATGCCACTTTTACATTCAGTCTTAATAAACTGTAATTATTTAGGTATTTTTTTAAAAAGTAAAACTGTAAGATTTCAGATACAGTAGGGGTTGGATCTTGCTTGGCAAAAATCAATTCCTCTTTCCCAAGCTTCTTGGGAGATTAAAGCTGAAGAAGCCTACTGGATTAGGGACTCTGGGACAATGGACAATATTCTGACTGTCCGAACAAATATGTCTCATCTAAAATAACTGAAAGGTAACTCCCACTTTCCTTATGATTCAGCCTCTTATTTCACACCTATCCCTCTAGTCCCCACAACTCTGCTGAAAGCTGAATATAATTTCTAATACTTCTATATTGCTTCAGAACTCAGGAGTTGCAACAGATACTCCCTCAACAAAGTTATTCAAAGGCACTGATCTTCAAACTTCTGACTGTAAGAAGGAACTAGTAAAGTCGTACCTTGCCTTATGTATGGGTGTTTCCTTTTTTAAATGTTTGGTGCCCAGAACGAGCAGTACTGGTCTAGATATATTTCACTATAGCTGAAATCCCAATACACTTGAACAGGTTAAGAATTAAACCAAATTGTATATCTTTGGAATAATCTTTATCATGATTGCCTCGAATTCTTGAATACAACTCTTACTACATCCATAGTATAGCTAATCTCCCCCCCTTTTAAGGCCTAATGTCCTCCCCGCCCAAACCCTGAAGAGACACTTTTGGTCATCCTCAGTCCTGCTCATGGAATGGGAAAAGGACCTCCCTCTCAAGTTACAGTAGCTTCCCACACATGGTGGGCAGGATCTTTCTTTTGTGCTATGGAATGATCCATAAAATTCATGCTACCAAGAATTAATTCATTAATTTAGGCACCTTAATGATTTGCACACAGAGGCACAAAACAGGCAACTGTTACTTCTACTGAGCTTCTCTTGCAGATTCCTTTATTTGGAATTACAGCTGTGTAGAGATCCATATGTGAAAGGCAAAATGTGATTCAGTGCATGACACCATCACATGCTCCAAATTTTACCCATCAACCCCAGATCTCTGCAAGTCCTATTAAGCATCTAATGCTTGCATTTTTACTAGAGGAAGGAGTAGAACTTATTAAAATAAATCTGGATTCATAAATGCAGAATGATCACTATATAACAGCAAAAAGCTATTATTATTTTGCTGCCATCTAATAGCCATTTGCATTTTTGCATGCCAACCACTATCCTTAACAAAAGATTTGGAGCTGCCCATGAAAAATACAAAATATTTTTTCAAGGTAGAATGTCAAACTGTTTTAATCTGTACAACTGTTTTACATGTCCTCAGTTAAAAACCTCTAACAATGATACTGTGTGATTCTCCCACTCCCAAAGTGGAAAATCAGCCAGATTGAACATTCTAAGAATTGCAAAACTGCACCATTAATATAGTATTTAGCGTGAGAGCTGGCTTCCAGAATGATACCTTATTTTCAGAACTGTGTGTAGTATTTTTTTGCAATGCCTCAGAAAGATCTTTTTAAAAATTGAAGCACCAGTAGAAAGCAAAATTATTCCCCACTGACTTTGGGTTACTTAGTAGTGATACTAGTGCCTCTACTACCTGCCGAGCTCTGATGTTCAAATAATTAATGAATCTGTACTTATAAATCAGCCACTTATTTGATTTCTAGGATGAGCAACAATCACATCCAAATAACCAGGTATTAAAGCTTAGTTATATTGGAAAGTAAACTATTCTCTCTCCTCCAACTTCTCATCTCATCCATCTTAATTTTGGTAATTAAGAACTATGGAAATCTCATGTTTTTACTAACATTGTATCCTAGCATTCATTAGGCCATATTTTCCTTTCCAATTTACATCGGCCACATCAATTGGAATATTTGAAGGATACTTCAAATATTACATCTTTCCTACACAGAAAGCCTATTCAGGCAACAAAATCATGAGAATACGTGCCTGATGGTTGCAAATAGGATTACTGCTTCTTGGGAAAAATCTCATGATAGCCTAGTTCTGTAGAGCATCAGGCTTTCCACACAGGAAATTCAGATTTAAAAGTAGCCTGTAAATTGTACTGAATGCTCTCATGCAATAAATGTGTAGGGAGTTACAATAAAAAATGGATTATAAGAAAAGACTATTTTACAAGAGATAATAATATAGAATTTCTTCCAGAACTCATGAAAATTGCTAGTTGCTGAATAGCAAATATTTGATTACAATGGGCAGCTCCGTGTTTTTCTAGTGTTACTGTTCTTTATTAAGTAGTTAGTCACAATTACGACCGAAACAACCTCAACATCAGGTGAAATTGAGATTGCACACAACTACCTTGTCCATTCATAAGTGCACCGAACCTTTATGTCTAGGCTGCAAAACTCTAAATGACCAATGGAGGGAAGCAAGGAGATTTAGAAAACTAACTCACTGTCTGCAGCCTTTTAAAAGTTGCCAAGATCTAGAAGCCCTAATTAAATTCCTTCATCCACATCTTAGTCTTCCACTGTGTGTCCTATATAATTGGCTTTCCTCAATAATTTTTAGCAATAACCTTCTCTACTGATTAAGCGCTATTTGGAATTTTGCCTGCCACTACTGAAATAGCCCTTTTTCCAGCCTACCTACTTGCTGCAAAAATTCAAACAGCCTCTAGATGGCAGTAAAGAGTTAGAATTATCTGTTTGGATTCTTGCAGCACAGCTATGTTAGGCAGTTCTTTCTTCCTTCTCTCTTTGGTTTCCTTGCCTTCCAAGAGTCACTAATGGCTGGCCAACTTCTAAGTCAGAGTAGGAACAGGATTGTGAGAACAAAGGAATTATTTCCCAGCCTTCAAGTGGCAATGGCCTTCTGTATATAACAAAGGCATAAAAGCTATTAGGCAAAGAAATGGCATCTATTCCATATTGTACACCTTCATTCCTCCTTAAGATATCTTTGAGAAACTTACAGAAACTTTATATATTATTTTTTAATTATTTCTCTCTTAAATATAACTTTCAGTTTTATACTTTAAGTTATCTGCAACACAGGTAACAAAAAAACAGCCCAAGTATTTACATATCTTGCACTGAAAAAATGATTTGGCTTCTGGAAGCAGCATCATGTCTTCAATGCTTATAAGTCTTCTAGATACATTTTACATACTCTCATTTCTCCACAGTATCAACTCTGGGGATAAATGTTAATTGTCTGAGTACAAACTACACCCTTTCAAAGTGCAAAACTGTGCTGTTTCTATTATATAATGGCCTCTTTTGTCAAGGCATTTTGGGGTTTGTATGGGGAGAAAACTTTTGGCCAGATTAACCGTAATACATATTAGAATGTTGTGAGATGTTCTGAATTCCTCAGCCTCCTAATCCTACCTCTATCTGTCAAATGCTTGGTCCTATTAGTAGGCTTGAAAAATTTCAAAGAACAGGAGGGAAGAATTAAAATCTGGCAAGAGTAAAAAATAGAATGTTGTGGAAGATGCCAAACTTTGAAACATTCCAAAAATTATTGCAATATAAAAAATTACCTCAGCACCTCAGGAACTCCTTGGGAAAACCAAAAACTAGGTTTGGTGAAAGACTGGACAAAGTCCTTTAATACAATGGCACTCCCAGCTGGGAAGTCCATCCTAATGTCCTTGCTAGCTCTTTCCTCTGTAGAGTAAGGGCTTTAAATGGAGCATGGCATTCTCCTCCCATCCCACGCCGGGTAACACAGCAATTTCTTGTAAAAAAATAAGTTAATTCAGGAGCCCCTATAAGACCTTTCCCCTCAAAGAGAGGCTGTTAAAAGAAAAAGAACTTCCCTTCCCAGTATACCCCAATCACCAGACACAGGGTTTCAGAGTGGCTTTTGCTTAGATTGGTGGGCTTCCTCAGTTGCTCTCTGACCAATCCATGTTTCTATTTCTTTAAAAACAGAAGTAGTCACATCGGGAAGCTCTTTATGGAGAGCATGGAAGGCTTCATCATATACCTGCAGAATGCAAGAAAGGAAGTTGAAGGCACATTGCAAATAACTTCTGATAGACTATTCTTCCAATATACACTTTCGTGTCATTTTAATTTGCAATTCTGGCCACATCTTGTCCTATATCTATCTAATTAACCCAATTTTTGAAGTATTATCTTTAGGGAGCAATCTTGACTTTTGTATTTGTAAATTTTTGCTTATTAGGAAGGTGGTTAATAGCTTAGAATATTTTAATCACATACTTTCCCCTTGTGCTCAGATGTGTTGTATAACACTGCTAAGCAGCACTAACCAAGACTCTTTTTAATCTTTCTCCATTGCAATAATTTTAGTGTCCATTAATTAAACACATTGGTGCAATCTATGCATGAATTTCACTGAATATTGCTCCTTTCATACATATTTATGTATACATTTATAAAACTTTTGTAAGAGCTCAGAAATCCTGCTCATTTGCTGGAAGACATATGTAAACATCTCAAATATCTGATTAATAAAAATTGTTATTGAAATATTTTTATTAACTGAAATGCCACTAAGTATTTCATGCTCTGTTTTATCTGTTCTGTATATTCCTCCTCTCATGTACGACACCAAGAAAAAGTTAATCAACTTTTAAAATGTTGCATCTACAACTCTTTTCCATTCCTTCCATCTATGTTTTAGTCTTGTGCAGGGGTGGGATCTGATAGGGGTAATTACCGGTTCGGTGATTTACAAGGTTCGGTGATTTACGATGTGCTTCCCTGCATGCTGCACATGCCGGCCTGTAAATCATCATCAGCACGCTGCCTACAGTGAAGCAGCCTTTCAAAAAGCTCTTTTTCCCTGCTTTTTAAAATACAGCTGTGCCTCGCTCGGCAGCAGAAGTTGAAAAAGCAGGAAATAAAGGTCAGGTAAGAACTTGGATGGGTCGGTGAGCCAAAACTGCTCTTCAGAGCTACCGGTTCTACAGAGGTGGACAGAACCGGTAGAAACCCCGCCTGGTCTTGTGCCTTTATTATCTCCAGCCACAGATATGGATTTTTTTTCTGAATACCTCCATTATTTTCTCTTTCGATTTGGAATTTCCTGTCTGAATGCCCATTTACTCAGTATACTCACAATAACCCTCTATGCCTAATGACTATATGAAATATAACCTAATCTGTTCCTTATCTACAAAATATGAGGGCTATCCACAAAATAGATTACGTTTTTGTCTGTAGTAAGAAGGGGTGGAGCTAGTGTGGCCATCTTTGGTCTGCGTGTCCGCCGCTCAGTCTGCATCTAGTCGTGCTAGTGGGAGGTTCATATCGTTGCCCGTTATTTCACAGCAAACGTTTGAAATGTGTGCTGCAATTGAAAATCCCGCGAGTTGTGAGGTGCAATCAGCAATAAGGTTTTTGTTGGCAAAAAATCATAAACCGATTGAAATTTTTCGGCAACTGTGTGAAATGTACGGGGACATCACTGAAGGTGGAATGCGCCAATGGTGCATTAAGTTTAAAAATGGGCGAACTAACATTCATGATAAACAGCGGAGTGGATGTCCGAGCATTGTGACTGATGAACTGGTCGCGAAAGTCTATGACAAGATTCGTGAAAACTGCCATTTCACAGTAACAGAACTTTTGTTTAGTTTTTCACAAATTTCACGCAGTATGTTGCATGAAATTGTTAACAAAAGCTAGGCTACCACAAATTTTGTGCAAGATGGGTGCCAAAAATCCTGACAGAAAACCACAAGAGTCAGCGTATGGCCGCATCATTGACATTTCTGTACTCTTACGACAAAGATGGAGATTCATTTCTTGATCGAATCGTAACTGGAGACGAGACTTGGGTCAAACATGTGAACAGCGAGACCAAATTGCAGTCTATGGAGTGGGGGCACACAAATTCCCCCCCAAAACCAAGAAAATGTTTGCAAACATTCTCTGCAAGGAAGATTATGGTGACTGTTTTTTGGGATAGGCAAAGTGTGCTTCTTATCAATTTTCTGGAACATGGTGCAACAGTAAACTCTGTGAGGTATTGTGAAACGTTGCAAAAGCTAAGAAAAGCAATTCAGAACAAGTGTAGAGGTTAAGCTCAAAAATTTTGTTTTTGCATGACAATGCCTGACCACACACAGCAAATCGCACTCAAGAAGTCCCGAATGCTTTCAAGTGGAAGATTTTTCCTCATCCGCCCTACAGCCCCGATCTTGCACCAAGCGACTACCACTTGTTTCCGAGGATGAAGACCTGGCTTGGAACACAGCGCTTTGACGATGTGGAACTGCGGGTGGGTGTGACTGACTGGCTCAAATCTAAGGCAGCTGAATTTTGTGACAATGGAATTACAAAGCTTGTTCACCGCTATGATAAGTGCCTCAATTTGTTCGGTGAATATGTTGAAAAGTAGTATTTAAGAATCACTTAAAAGTGTATATAATACTACACTTTGTTTTTTTTCTATCGCAAAACGTAATCTATTTTGTGGATAGCCCTCGTACATTTAATATTTGTTTATATACTTGGTTACAGTTATCACCCTATCTTCTTTTATGAATCTTTCTTTATTTCCAAATTTCAAGGAGAACCTATCTTTTGCTAATCTCTTCTAACATTAAATAAAGAATGCACCATTTTTCTAATTTACATTTCATTTATTACACGGATGTCAAACTTGCATCGTCATGGCGTCGTCATGTGATGTATCATGACTCCCCCCCTTCGCTAAACCGGATGTGGGCATGGCCAGTGCGTGATGTATCTGGCCTGCAGGCTGCGAGTTTATCAGTCCCAATCTATTATGTTAGAATTCAGTCATCTCATCCATAAATATCTATCAAATACATAATATTGTCTTTAAAATGTACATTGTCCCACAAATTCAAATCTATAAATACTTCTTATAAATAGTAAAGGATGGCATGAGGAACTTCTAATCATGTTTCAGAGTTCTATACACAAGATAAATCCTAAGGGAAATTCCTAAATATATTCACTGTGGTGTTTTCAGTGTCCAGTTGCTCTGATAGAGACTAGAAATTATCTAACAGAACAAGGGAGTTGGGAGGGACCTTGAAATTCTTCTAGTTCAACTCCCTGTTCAAGCAGGAAACTCATGTTAGAAAAATGGTTATTTGTCTATGACCAATACACAAATTTGAAATTGCCAAGGGGATGGATCATGCATTTTAAATAATCCTTTTTTGATGCTGTTATTCTATGCTCATGTGCAGTTTTGGGGGATCCTTATATCTATTTCTGATTTTAAAATTATGTGCTAACAAAAACTGTCTCCTGAAATGCAACTTGCTTCTTTCGGGTATTCCTCTAGGCATTTTCATAGAAGTGAATGTTTTATAAACAGTCATTGTACTTGCTATTTTTAAGTGAATGTATCTCTTGTTTAAGTTCTGCTAAAAGCAGTGGGATTAATCATCTTAGTAAATGGACTTTGAATTGTGGTGAATGGAAGAAATTGAAAGTTTTACTTGAATATCATCCCAACATTTATTTCATCCAGGCTTTCTCAGTACCTGAAAAACTAAAGCATGCCGATATAGATAGATAGATAGATAGATAGATAGATAGATAGATAGATAGATA